AAAAAAAAAAAAAAAAAAATAAACATACCGTCGAATTGAATACCTCCTTCTTTTGGGAAGTCGGTCAAAAATGTTAACAACGATCGCTGTGAACACCGAGTTTGATTAAAATGTACTAATACACTAGTTATCTCCCCATGCTCTGCCTTGTCCTGCCTGTTTTAAGATTTACATTTTTTTATATTCATCTAAGGTAACTTCATAAGTAAACGTCATTTGATTGTTTAAAATGGAAAGAAATGACAGCGCCCATCTGATAGCTGTTTTAATTTGTCGCAAAAATAAAAAAAAAGTAAAATGTTTGCTTTTTTTAGTGAAAGTGTATATCAGCTGGGTTCTAACAATTTTGTTTACGTCTAATACATTTAGTTTCAACCTATATATTTCCTACATAAATTGTACAAACGTTCAGCGGTGAAGAAAGAATTTTAACGCGCCGGAGAAAAATTTATTGTCTAAGAATGCAAAGAATGTAGCCCACCCAGCCGTGGGCGTGGGCGCGGGCAGGCTGACTCAGTGCGCACACTTTGTTATGAACATTACAGATTAAAAAAATGAAACTAAATCATAATTCTACATGTTATTGAGCCTATCCTAAGTTAGGGTGACTAAGCCATAGTCAACCACGCTGGCCAAGTTCGGGTTGGTTGACTTCACATATATCTCTGAATTTCTTCGCCGATATGTGCAGGTTGCATCACGATGTTTTCCTTTACCGTAAGAACGTCGGGTAATTTATGTAGATATGAAAATTCGGAAAAACTTAAATCAAATTGGTACAGCGGGATTCGAACCCAAGACCTATGGATTACAAGTCAAATGCTTAAACCACTGAGCCACCGACGCTGTTACTATTGTAGAAATACTTGCATAAAAACATCATTGTCATCTTACTGAATTAAAAAAATATTAACAAAGTGTTTCTATTCTAGTACTTTAGGCTTGTGAGAAATAAGAAAGTTAGAAATATCAAAATGATTCTTATCTTTGTTATGTTAAATTTAATGTTGTTACTAGGAGCTAGTTATTCTCAGAATTTGTATATTGTTATTGTAAATGTATATTATAATATATATAGAGAACAATATTGTGTGTACTGTGAACGACCGATAAAGGTATTTCTTTCCGGCTAATGAAATAAGATATCTGATGTGTTATTGTTGAAATATCATAATAGAAGTAAAAGGTTTTATTACAATAGCATCCATTAGAGTGTGTATTCTTTTGTTTATTGGGATAAATTACGTGACGCCACGCTCGTTAGTTGCTGGGCGCGTGCTGACCTTCTTGCACTTGTACTGGGAGATGTCTAAGAAATTCATTAGTTGATTTCATATAAATATTTATAATTTTCCCTATTAAAAATGTTTCCTTTGTGGACATGTGGTACAGTTCAGTAACACGGGAGATATTCGGATTCTCCTGTCAATATTACTTAGTTAAGTGAAGCATTTACACCTCAAAGTCAGTCAAGTAAAATTGGAGCGCGCAGATTGGAAGCAATGAAATTCCTTTATGAACTGTCGAGGAAAAATGTTAGCAGCTCTCATTCAATTGAAAAAGCTTCAAGTTCGTTGATCTTCCTGCCTTTAGATGTAATCATGTGTCGATCGTGTAACTCTCATAAAATAACTTTGTATTAGAGAGATACGTATTAATCTTACAAAACTGCATTTGTAGAGTTTAAATAAAAGCCATACTGTTTAAGTCTTTTAATACTCACAATTATTCAGTTTCTGTTAAATCTAATTGTAATTCTGACAGCATCTAACCTTAGTATTGTTAGAAATATCAATCTATAAATAGTTTTCCATTATACGAAGAGAGTGTAATTCATTTTAAATATTTTTTATTCTTTACCAGTTACAAGTGATAATTTGTCAAGGAGCTTTTTAATCATTTACCATTACATAAGGTAGTAAATACCTTTCTAGATATTCAAGTTTCAATATGGTATTTTCATAAATTTAAACTAGATTAAAATACAGATGAAAGGAATTTACATTGGTAGATATATTAGAATGTTGTGTTGTAATAATCAATCATACGCGACATTGTGCTCGGCCGCTGGCCGCTGCGGATGAAATGGGCACGAACGCTAAAAGAACAACAATTCATAATTTGTGACGCCGCTATAATTCGGTCGCTTGTGAAAACACATAATTATGTCAAAGATGGCTGATTTAAATCCACAGAGGAAAATAGAACGTGAAAAAAATTATGTTTCGCTTCTATTTTTGTGTTAGTTCTCTAGACGTTTGGTATACAGTGAGTAAAGGTTCAGTAAATATCTCTCTTCATGCGATAGGTTAGCTTTGTTTCATTTTTTTCTTTACATCTTGTTGCTGTTCATCTAAATCAATATGGTCTCTATATTATCTAACTATAACGGTGTTTAAAACATGATCCAATTGAACGAAAATGGTGACTCCAAGTTGTTACTTGTTATTGGCAACTTTCGAAAGTAAATATTTGCAATTTTGGAGTTTCCTTTTATCTCATTTATTGTGATAACACGCTAACTGCCTAATTTCATAGATAAGATTATGGTGAATTAAAAACATAACAGGGAAATGTCAGCAAACCGCGATAGTGTTGGTACGTCCACCTTCGATAGTCCGCGGCGACTTATTGTCTCATTTTAATGAACCCTTGATATTGTGCCCCGTCGCCAAGACTTTGATCTCGCCACAAACCTGTTAGAACATCATAAGGAGATTGATTTCTTCACTTTATACTATAATCTCTCGTTTAAATAATTTGTATCCTATAATAACTTACACACACTTATGTAACTTGACTCTCCCTTGTTACAGATTTAAGGATCAAGCCGAAATTTGAAGACGCCAACATGAATTTGAATCTTGTAAAGTTAATTAATTCCGTAGTTATTGGTAATTTATTTTTGATCAATGCAACATTTTGTTTCGAAAATAAAGCTAATGAGGAATGTGATTTATGCCAAGATGTGTCCAGAGTTAAATTGGGTGATACAGAAATGAAACTGCTCGCTGTTAGATTCAAACGAGCCGTGCAGACAGACAGAGGTGCGGCCAGATCCGCCACAGCTGAGGACATTGATCGAAAAGTATCCATAAATCAAAGTTTACCAGCTGTGAATGGTACAGATGAGCCATGCATTGGCTCTCCAGAGTTCTGCAACTTAACCAAAGAGGAATACGTGAGAATGTTGCAGGAGTACATCTACCCGCAGACGTACGAGTGGGTGCTGATAGGCACGCATTCCGCGGTCTTCGTCATAGGGCTGGTGGGCAACGCACTGGTCTGCATCGCCGTGTATAGGAACCACACCATGAGGACTGTAACCAACTATTTCATAGTAAACTTAGCCGTCGCCGACTTCATGGTAATACTGTTCTGTCTGCCGGCGACCGTGCTGTGGGATGTGACGGAGACTTGGTTCTTAGGAGATGTCCTTTGCAAGATACTGCTATATTTTCAGGTCAGTTTTTCCATAATTATGCTTAACTATAAGTGTTATTAGTGACTTTTTTGACCTTTTACGTCGCCTTTATACTCGTATGTAGTTCATTAATAGTTTGCCGTTTTCTTGTGTATCAGTTCTATTTCTCGAGGTAAATCAATCATCTCACGGCGCCTACGCCACAACATCGTCTATCTCGCTCGCTCTTCGTCTTACGTTTACTTTCCACGTCCCTTTCTATTTTAATTTTCTAAAGCACATTATTTCTGATGTTGTTGTAATTAATTCTTATCCCCACATCCACGATTGGGGTTGTTTAGTTTATATTACAAGTGAACATTTATCTTTGTTTAATGTTGCGTTATTTTTGCCTTGACCAAAGTTTGTTTTACTTAAATTATTTAAGTTAATTTAAAAATGTGTTGTTGTATAAAAAATTTAGAACTGAAAACATAGTAAAGACACGGAGTAATGCACACATAGCTGTTCATGCTCTGTGCGTGCAGGGCAGCTTGTCCCTCCCTGTCTTTATCTTCAAAGGCAGATTTCATATGTAGACATGTTCAATCTAGTTCTTATTCAAGAATACAAATAGATTTAAGACCACGAAATGGTTTTTTTAAGTGAAAAGAATCACATTTAGTAAACTTGTTAATATTCGTAAATTACTCTTTGCATTAAAGATACCTATTAATTTAGCATAGTTTAATATGAACTATGACTGTTATTATAAGTCCACACACACAATACATAATTGATATCCAATCAAGCAGGTGTGAAGGCTCAGTCAAACATCGGCGGCGCGTCATGACGGACGTGTTAAAGAATGCTGCATATTTCCAATATTGTTAGATCGCTACGGAATGTAAATTTATGTTTAGCTGGAGCCTCATGATCACTAAAATAAACGGATACAAACATAAACAATGTCGATGGTAATCCATAATTTGTTTATGTTTAAACGAGAACGAGTTTGTAGCGAGTTGTGTTGCGCTCTTTAATGTGGTAGAATCAACAAGTCGCCAATATTAGGGAGTTTGTTGCGCAATAACACATTAACAGCCGTCCAGCTGCCGTTCCACGCACACTTACAGCTAATACAGATTTAAAACTTCTCTATATTCAAGGATTGTTTACACGGTATGTGTGTAATGTAGCAATGTAACAGATGGTGTTACTGCCTCTAGTGACCAACGTTCATTATAATCCATCGACCTGTTAAAAGGAAAAATAACATATGGAGTTGGAACCTTAATAGTCTTTTCAATAGGGCTTTTAAAGTACTAAAGCATAGAAAAAGGTAAGCTTTTACGTCTAAAATGAATTTTAGACACATAAAAACGTATGAATTTCGTTAGAAATAAAGAGGATTGTTTGTGCAGTCGGTGTCGGTGACAGTCTCGGTGCTGACGCTGACGTTCATCTCGCTGGACCGCTGGTACGCCGTCTGCTTCCCGCTGGAGTTCAAGTCCACCACGGGCCGCGCCACAACTGCCATACTCGTCATATGGACCGTCTCCCTGCTCTTCAGTAAGTACACTCTTTACAACTTGTGTAGAGAATCTTCTTGCAATATTGTGTAATGTATGTATGTGATGACAGATGCGCCCGAACTGGCAGTGCTGACGACGGTGCAGGCGGTGCCGCTGCGCTTCGAGCTGCGGCTGTTGGTGCAATGCACGCCCACGTGGTCCGCCACCAGCGACCTCGTCTGGCACATCGTTAAAGTCCTCTTCATCTACACGTGAGTACAGATACTAGTATACTACTACTACTATCACTAGGATCTAGTAATCTAAAATCACTGATCTTCGCCAGTAGTGGCAGCTGTCTACGTCACAAGTGAACATCAGATGGCTGCAGATAACGATAATGTTTATTCGAGCTTAGTTTGATCTAGTTTATTTACACTTGTGTACGGATTTAGTTCGGTCGACATAAATTTATATTGATAATGGAAGTCGTTAAGTCGCCGACGTTGATTTGGCGGCGATGGATTTATTTAAATCAAGCTGAATGACCGCATGTGATGTTTCGCTCCGCTCAGTGTTCTCATGTACTCTTTTTATTTGTTTGTGTATGTAGAGTATAATCTTGAACATACAAGAACTTATTGTCTCAATCTCGTGGTTGCAAAATCTAAAAATAAATAAATGTGTATACGTCGTATTGACTTGCAGCTTGTGTTTACAGTATATCAGACAGTTTGAGAGTAGCCCCAGTGGGAGACAAGGTAAAGAGTAAAATGTTAGCATGGTATGCGCATATTATGAGGAGAACTTTAGTTATGAGTATGGAAGGGTACACTTGTAGAGGTAATCTATAAAGAGATGGATGAATTGCGTGAAAGGTGACAAGATGAAGAAAGGAGTGGTAACTGAGATGACGTATGATAGAGTTATGTGGAGGACAAAAACTTGTAGCGCCGACCCTACGGAAGTAGGATAATGACGACAACGATGATGATTGTGTTTGTTTGTCAGGATCCCGCTGGTGCTGATGACGGTGGCGTACCGGCAGATCGTGCG